CAGATTGCAGACTGCAGATATATATATATATATATATATATATACGCGTGATCGAATGACTTGAATCACGACATAAAATGATAAACCAGTCTCCGTGATTAATGCGTTTATCAATCGCTGAATACAAATTTATTTGTTATATAATGCAAAAAATCGGCATAACCTTTGTGCGAACGTAAAACTATAATTATTTGTTATGTATATATCATTTATATTAATCGATATCGCCTCACATTGAAACGTGATTCTCTTCTCAGTTAAATAATACTATCGCAGTACTATGAAGTTACACGATGGAGTTATCCGAATCGCAAAATCTCGTTAAAGATTTAGATTTAACTCTTCAACCAAGGATTGCCCCACGGTATAAAACCTGGCTTCATCTTGCCACACAACAGGTGAGCCATGACTAAATGTTATTGTTAGGAATGATTATGATATGTTTAAGCAATAGCGCTTGATATGGGTTTAAAATTTTCAGTTACGACTCAGAAGTTTAATACAAATAATAGGCCATAATCTAAAAGCCAATATAAATGGAGAAATATGTTGGTTTTATTATACATTACATAGATCAAGTATGTCGTCTCCGTTATATACGAGTGAACCAATTGACAATGCTAATCCAAGATGGTCTAGTCTCGAAGTACCAATCCTGTATGCCACAGGTTATTCAACAGCCAGTGGTGAGCATTATTATCTGTTAGTACAATAAATGTTATGTTTCTTGGTATAAGTATATGTGTCAATTTATATTCTCAATATGTCTTATTTTGAATTTATGTAATTAGAAATTACTAGAAATTTAAAAATAATTATATTTTTTTAAACAGAGATTATCTTAAGAGTCTGGAAACGCTCAATACCATATGATAGAACAGCTGATGTAACTCTCTTCACATGGGGAATATCATTTACAGGATTGGCATATATTGGTCCTAAGCTCCCAATTAATTTAGAAACCATTTTAAAAGAAAATTCTTTAATATTCCATTTTAATGGTGGATATTTTACTCCTCCATACTGTTTTATGATAGCCCCAGATTTGAAGCGTTATCTTTATATGTCTATAAGTACATCTGAAGTCAAGAATAGTTATACAGTAAATAAGCTTAGCAGTTTAAGGAGCAAAATGCAGGCACTAAAGCAACAAACGGAATCTGTACAATCACTCAGAATACGTATTGCTTCGGGTGATGATTTTCACATTCCAAAGTACCCACAGTCAACTTTGAATAGACTATTGCAACCACGAAGAATCAATAGGGAAAAAAAGTTGGAAATTATAAGAATACGTAAAGAGCTAGAAATAGCTAAATTTAGAACAAAATTGCTGGAGCAAGAAAGAGCGCGAAAAATGGGAGAAATTCGTGTACTGAACCAATTACATACCAATATTCTAGAAGAAAATCAAGATCATGGTCAGTATACATGTGCATGTTATATACACAAATATTCTAGATAAAAAAGTTTATTTTCTATTTATATTTATTCTTAGGCTCCGATTTAATGGAAAGGTATAGACAACTAAATAAAGACATAGAAAGATTGAATGAATGGCGACAAAATCATATTGATACAAGGGAAACATATTTGCAAATGAGTAATCAACTTGCACAGAGACGACGACAATTAATCTCAGAATTATATTTGATATATCCAATTAAACAGGTATATCTCATAAAGAAAAAAAAAACAAGTATAAAATATATTTATAGCAGAATATGTTGACATCGAATAATACTTTTTTTATTTTGTAGGATAGTGCCGGAAAATTTAGAATAAATGATGTTTATTTGCCAGATAGTGAAGAATTAGAATTGTCGAATGACACACAAGTAGCTGTGGCATTAGGTTTCGTTGCACATACAACACAAATGATTGCAAATTTTTTAAATGTACCAACCAGATATCCCATTATACATTACGGCTCACGCAGTAAAGTTATAGATCATATCACAGATAGTTTACCTGATAATGACAGACAGTAAGAATAATTAGCAATTATCCTTTTAATTTAGCTTTATTCAATGTAATATCGGTAGCATATTATTTTTAGATTTCCATTGTTTGCTCGAAGCAAAGATAAACTGCAATTTCATTATGCTGTGTACCTATTAAACAAAAACATAGCACAACTTCGATGGTATTGCGGCCTTCCAACCATTGATTTAAGAGCAACATTGCCAAATCTCGCTACGCTAATTAATATTAAGCCCAATCAGACACAGTATGTATATACATATCACATTAATTCATTAATTACTATCTGCATATTTATTTTTATTGTAACTAGAATCTTGAATATTATTTCATATAGTCTCGACGATTCAAAACGAACATTTTCTACCTCATCTTTGGATACTGAAGGTGGTAATGGTAAACAGAATTCATCTCTCACATCATCACTGCAAAAAATTATTTTTGAAAAATGCCATCGTTCTTCTCGGTCAATGAGTCAATTAAAGAATATAAAATCATCTCTTGGATCTTCTTTGGATCAAGGTTTAGACAAACCTATGCAATCACTTGTGCTGGGTAGACAATCAAAGCGAATTTGTAAATCAGAAGAGAGTGCTATCGACAATAAGACTTTGATGCTGGTTAAAGATAGATCAAGTAATAGTAGTAACGAAACATTAAACAGTGCCATTCTGAACAATATTGATAACATAACTCTTAAGGATAAAGATGATTTCGAAATTAGTGATAAGATCGTTATTGAAAGCAACATCGAGATTATGATACCTGTATCAGTTTCTAAAGTGAGGAATGTCGCGGATAGCTTGGAAAGTTCCGTGAATGCTCGAGACAGAAGCTCTAATTCTATAAGTAGCTGCGAAATGGCTCTTGGTAATAGCCAGAACGATGTAGATGAGAGTTCAAACGGTAACCATGTTAGAAGAGAAAAAGTCGACGATAATTTATTTTCAATCGATGAAAGTTTGAGAAATATCAAGGATGTGATAGACAGCGCGCTAAGAAATGGTGAACACAATAAAGAACATAATTCCAAAGACAATGTTTCGCAAAATTACAACATAAATAATGTAATTATCAGTGAACAAAATAACAAAAATGTTTACGAACGAGATCCATTTATGGAAACCATCTATAATAGAGAACGTTTTGCTAAATCGTGCTCATCTTTGGATGATGCATGCACTTTCGAAGAATCCAAACAAAAACAAAGAACAAATTCCATTTGCAGTTATACAGAAAAATATACAAAAAATACGATTTCATTACGACAGAAATATAGTTCTGAATCTAGGTACATAAATAGAAGTAATTATACAACTTAATTAGTTTTTAATATTTTATGTATATAAATAAGACAACTTCTTTTACAGAGAGAATAAATCAGATTATCTTCAACATGCTGAGAATTGGTCTCAAGATATTGTAAGAAACAAACCAAAGGTAAATTTTTGTATACTAATTAACTGTCCTTTGTACACTTCTAATAATATGATAAACTAAAACGTTTACTTTATACCTAGGTTGATCCGAAATTAATTGTAAGTACATCACAATCAGACTGCTGTTCATATGATGAAGCAAAAATGCAATGTGACATTCAGGCATCGAGTGAATATATAGATATCATTAGACGCAGCTCAGAAAACGTGTGCGCGCGTACTGAAGCTTTAGCTAATAAGACAACTAGTTTCAAAGTTATGAAACCACGATTTTAATATCTGCCTATATCATAAGCTCTGTCTGATATGTACAAGTATCAAAATTTTCGAGCATGTTCAGTTTATATTACA